GTTCGTTTGTCTTATAAAGGGCGCTCTATCTCTGAAGGAATGCACCTTATAAAAATTTAACGTTATACAACAGTTAAGAAAGCGGACTGTGCATTATCAACACAACAAAAAATTACCTGTAGAAAACACTGCATTAGAAACAAAGAGGGGCCTAAATCCAGACTTTAATCGACCCCGGGGTGTCAAGTTCCCAAAAGAAGAAGCAGGGATAATCACCCAAAGGATGTATTTTAAATTAAAAACATAAAACAAATTTAGCTAGTATACCCAAGTTATCGCTATTCCAGTGCTGTACTGCCTTGCAGATTGAAATTATTATACCATAGTTTAATAGTTTCCCAGAGTTTTACCAGTAGACCAAAATTGAAAATTTATCAAAACTAAGGAAGTTAAGGAAATTTCTCCTAGTATACCAGAACGGTGCGGGGTACACCAGGATTAAGCTAGTATAGAAACCCTTTAGGTAATTACCAGAACTGTAGGCATATACCAAAATTTTTGGTAGTAAGGGACGTAGTAGTAACCAGAACTGTAAGTAGAAACCAGAACTGAATTAGATCCCGTTTAATGGAAAAAGTAATAAAAACCAAAATTTGAAAAAGTTTTAGTTACCAGATTTTAAAGGAATATCCAGAGCTGAGGTAGTATCCCTTTAGCGAAGGTAGATCCTACCGGTTAGGCTACTAGCCAGACATAAGGTATAATTCCAGTTTTTAGGGTTCACTTGAGTACATCTATGATCAGGTTTAGCTTGTATACAAATTTGTAAATTTTAAAAAGTAATTTTAGTACTTTCCAGTGTTGAGATAGTATTTTTTTTGTAGTGTGGGATTATACCCGGCCTTTAGGAAAAATTTCCAGGGGGGTTTGGTATTAAACCCGGGCTTGGAATTAACCAGGCTGTAGGTATTATACCCAAAGGGTGTAGTATTGTACCAGGGGTGAGGATTGTACAAGGGGTGTATTATAGACCCCGGCTGTAGGTATTATACCAGAGCTGTAGGGATTGTACTAGAGTGCAGGTATTGTACCAGGGATTAGGTATTTACGAATAGGTATTGTACAAAGGGTGTAATCTACCAGGGCTGAGGTTTGTACCAGACTGTAAGTATTGACCCGGGCTGTAGGTATTTTACCAAGTGTAGGTATTGACCCGACTGTAGGTATTTACCAAACGAGGATTTTACCGGGGGCGTAGGGATTGAAACCAGAGTTAGGGATTGCCCGAGCTCTAGGATTTTACCAAGGTCTAGGATTGACCAAGCTCAGTAGACCAGAGCCTTGGTATTGTACCAGACCTAGGTATTTTTCCAAAGCGTAGGGATTGTACCAAGGGTGAGGATTTTAGCTGGGGGTTTTGGTATTTAGCAGACTGCAGGAAAAGTACCAAGGGTGTAGGTATTGTACCAGGGGTTAGGTTTGTACCAGGGGTATAGGTTTGTACCAGGGCTGAGGTATTTTACCAGGGGGTTTAGGTATTGTTCCATAGCTGTGGGATTGTCCAGACTGTAGGTATTGTACCAGGGGGTAAAGGTATTGTACCAGAGCCCGAGGAAAAGTACCAGAGCTGAGGTATTGGGACCCCTGTAGGTTTTTACCAACGTAGGTATTTACCAGAGCTGTAGGGTTTTTCCAGAGCTGAGGTATTTTTACTTTGGGGTGTGGATTTAGCAGGCTGAGGTATTGTACCCAGAGCCAGGAATTACTTTTTTTCCAAACTCTAGAATTGACCAAGCTCAGGTTTTGTACCAGAGTTGGGAGGTATTGTACCAGAGGTAGGTAGTCCGAGTGTAGGTATTCTACAAAAGCTTAGTTATTTACCTGGGGGGTAGTATTGAACCAGGGGGTAGGGAATTTTTCGAGCTGTAGGTATGTACCAAAGCTTAGGTATTGTACCGCAGCTGAGTATATTTCCAAAACTTTGGTTTTTACCAGAGCGAAGGGATTGTCCGGGGGTAGGGGTTATACCAGGGTTTTAGTATTGACCAAGCGAGGATTGTACCCGACTGTAGGATTGTACCAGAGCGTAGAATTGACCAGGCATAGGGAATTGACTAGAGCTGTAGGTATTTACCAAGGGTGTGTTTGCCAGGGCTTAGGGATTGTACCCAAACTGTTGGGATGTACAGAGCTGGGTAAAAGGTAATGTACCGGGGTGTAGGGATTTTCGAGCGTGGTATTGTACCAACGTAGGAAAAGTACCAGGGGTGAGGATTGTACCAAGGGGTAGGGATTTTACCAACTGTAGGTATTGACCGCTTTAGGTATTTACCAGGGCTGTGGTATTTGTACCCGGCGTAGGTATTTACCAACTGTAGGAGTACCAGAGCTTTGGTATTGTACCCGGGGTATGGCATTGTACAGACTGTAGGTATTTACCAAGCTGTAGGTATTGACCAGGGCGTAGGGAATTTTACCAGACGTAGGATTGTACAAACTTAGTATTGTACCGGCTGAGGGATTTTAGCAGACTGTAGGGATTTTACCGGGGGTTTTGGATTGTACCTGGGCTGTAGTATGTACCGGGCGAGGGATTTCCCCGAGGTAGGGATTGTACCAGACTTAGGGATTGTACCAGGGGGGTAGGGATTGTACAGAGCTGTAGGGATTTGTACCAGAGCTGTAGGTATTTACCAGGGCTGTAGGAAATTTTACCAGATCGTAGGAGTACCAGGGATTAGGTATTGTCCAGAGCTTTAGGGATTGTAAAAAGCGAGGGTATTGTCCAGGGGGAAGGAAATTTTACCAGACTGTAGGTATTTACCAGGGGTTTTAGGATTTTACCAGGGCTGTAGGTATTTTACCAGGCGAGTTATTGTACCAGGGCTTAGGTATTGTTTTTTTTGAGCTGTAGGGAATGTCCCCGGGTTGAGGTATTGTACCAGGGGGTGTAGGTATTTTACCAGGGGTTTAGGTATTTTACCAGGGGGTAGGGATTATACCAGGGCTTTAGTATTGTACCTGGGCTGTAGAAGACCAGGGCTGAGGGATTGTACCCGGGTGTAGAGTACCAGGGGGTTTGGAGACCAGGCTATAGGTTTAACAGGGGTGTAGGTTTTTACCAAGCTGAGTATTATACAAAGGCTTTTAGGTATGTACCGGGCTGTAGGTATTTTACCAGGGTTTAGGTATTTGTCAGGGCTGTAGGTATTTTTCCAAGCTAGGGGATTGTACCAGGTCGAGGATTTTACCAGGGGGTGTAGGTATTTACCAGGGGGTAGGTTTTTCCAGGGGTGAAGGGAAAAACCAGGGGGTTTTGGGATTTACCCGGGGTGTAGGATTGCCCGGGGGGTAGGTAGTCCAGGCCCGTAGGTTTTGTTCCCGGGCGTAATTGTTCCCCGGTTGTAGGATTTTACTAAGGGTGTAGGTATTTTACCCGGGCGAGGATTGTACCAGGGGTTAGGTATTTTAAAAAGGGTGTAGGGATTTCCAGGGGCCTTTGGGATTTACCAAGGGTTAGGTATTGTACCAGGGCTGTAGGATTGACCAGGGGGTAGGATGTAACGGGGTTTAGTATTGACCAGGGGTGTAGGTATTGTACCAAGGCTGTAGGTATTGTACCAGGGCTGAAGGATTGACCAGGGCTTAGGTAATTACCGGGGGGTAGATTGTCCAAGGCTGTAGGGATGACCCGGGGGTATGATTGTACCAGGGGGTTTGTATTTACCAGGGCTTGGTATTAACCCGGGCTGTAGGGATTTTACCAAGGGGGTAGGTATTGACCAAAGGCGTAGGGATTTTTACCAGGGGGGAAGTATTACCAGGGGGCTGCAGGGATTGTACAGGGCTGTAGTATTGACCAGGGTGGAATTTTTACCAGGGGTGTAGGATTGACCAGGGCGTAGGTATTTCCCAGGGGGGTAGTATTGACCCCCGGGGCTGTAGGTAATTTTACCAGGGTGTAGGTATTGTCCAGGGGTTGGGATTATACCCGGGCTGTAGGTATTGACCAGGGCTGAGGTATTAACCGGGGTGTAGGATTGTACCAGGGCTGTAGGTATTATCCAGGCTGTAGGATTTAAACCCGGGCGTAGGTATTGTACCAGGCTGTAGGTATTGTACCAGGCTTAGGTATTGTACCAGGGCTTTTGGGATTGTACCAGGGCTGTAGGTATTTACCGGCTGTAGTATTTACCAGGCTGAAGTTGTACCAGGGCGTAGTATTTTACCAGGGCTGTAATTGTTCCAGGGGTTAGGTATTGTACCAGCCCGTAGGATTGACCGGGGTGTAGGTATTGTCCAGGGGGAGGTAAGGGGTAGGGATTTACCAGGGGTAGGATTTACCAGGCTGTAGTATTGTACCGGGGTGTAATATTGTACCAGGGTGTAGGTATTTTACCGGGTGAGGATTGTTCCAGGGCTAGGATTGTACCGGGGGTAGATTGTCCAGGGCTTAGTATTTTACCAGGGCTGTATATTTACCAGGGCGTATTATTAACCGGGTTAGGTTTGTACCAGGCTGAGTATTTTACCAAAGGCTGTAGGATTTTACCAAGGCGTAGGTTTTGTACCAGGGGGTGGTATTACCGGCTGATGAAATTTTTCCAGGGCTGTATTATTTTACCAGGGGGAGGATTAACCAGGGCTGTATTATTTCCGGGCTAGGTATTATACCAGGGCTGTAGGTATTGTACCAAGGCTGTAGGTATTATACCAGGCTGTGGCTAGAGTAGTTTACTAATATTATATATAATAGATTACGTTTAATTATTCGCTGGTTTAGAAATTGTTTCATATTATTTTTCTTACTTTCACTGTGTTTCAAAAACGTCAAAAAAGAAAGCGTTAACAAGGACTTTCACTTTTTAAATTTATTTTCATTAAGAGATGTGTCTCGCAGAGAATATTCGACGAGACTTTGAACAAATCTCTCTACAGAGATTAATATATCCTTGACAGATGATTGGTAGACGTTACACTCAGCCTTAATAAACCTCGTTTAGGCAATATATTTTAAATAGAAAAAACAATTAGCCCTCAACTTTTACCAGTGATTGTGT